ATATGTTTCCGATTTGGCCCAATCCAGATACCTATCCTTCCATAACAAACTGTAGAAACATCCGAATCCTCTCGCTTCAAACCTTGCTTCCTCCTCGATCCCTGATAATCCTCCGAGGCGTCTGAAAAGAAGATGGCCTCGTGACCTTCTAATATAGAACTTTAATTTGAGTTGTACCAATGGGTAGTTTCTCTTCATGTTGTACATGTCATGTTACCAATGTCACATTTACTTATTGTATTTTCCATGTAATACAGTTGTAAATCTCAATAAAATAAAATTAAAAAAAAAAAAGTTTTTGTTAGTTATTCGATATCTCTTCCTACTTGCAATATGCAATAATTGGGTTTTTCTGCAATCGCAGATTGATCTTCCCCATTGACAGATATTATGAGAAACATTATTTTGTCTTCAGTTTTTATATTTTATTATTATATTTTATATTTATATTTTATATTTTATTCAGTACCACGTTATCACATCGGTGTTGCCTACAACTGAGTATGGGTCCCGCATTTCCTATGGACGTTGTGGCGCATGAAAAAAAATAAACTGACGAAATTTTGATTTGCTTTAAAAATATTTTATGTTTATTCCTAAATAACTAAAAATTTCACCTAACGACCTTATCAGATATCCTATACATCCTGATCAGCATTATTAATTTCTTTGAAGTTCCTAGTCGCTCGTACATTTTTCCCTTTTTACTGAATCATATGCTTGTCTGAAGTATACAAACAAATGATGTAATGTAATATCGTACTCATAGGCTTTCTCCAGCATTTGTCTTACTGAAAAATTCTGGTATGTAGTTGACCTACTCGGTCTAAACCCACACTGATTATCATCCAGAACCGTTTCCGCCCATTTCGTTTGTCTTCTGATTATATTTTATTTAAATATTAGATTGCGAGTATATTTTGTATATAGTATTTACCAATGAAATTCCCCTGTAATTTCTGAACTCCTATTTTCTTTTTATATATTGGACGTATTAGAAATTCAGACCATTGTTCGGGCATTTCTCCAATCTCCATACATCAAAAATGACATTGTAAATGTCTTCCAACACTTCTTCTCCTTCATTTTTAATCATTTCATTTTGGATTTCATCCAGGCCTGGTGCTTTGTTGTTTTTGAGCAGGGAGATGATATCATTAATCTCTTCCATATCTTGGGGAACATCTATCTCATCGAAGTTTTCCGCTTCATCTAGTGCATTGTTTATCAGTGTGATTTCATTAGCCTCCACCTTTTGACCATCATCCAAGATCTCCTGAAAATGTCGGCCCACCTCTCTAATATCTCTGTGTTGTCACCTAGTAGGTTGCCGTTCTTGTCTTTGATGAAAATTTCTCTTGTACGAAAACCTCCTCTTATGTTCTTAATGAATTTCCGGCTATCGTTTTATTTGAAATACTCTTCTGTTTTCTCCACTATTTATATCTCTATTGCCTTTTCTTTTTTCGAAACAGTATCTTAGCCAATTTTCTCGATACAGATCTATTGCTTGTCTTGCTGTTCTTTCTTTGTTTTTCTCTTTGGAGATTTCTCATCCGAGCTTCTGCTTTATCGCTACCTCGCATTCATAATGAAACAAGTCTTTACTGTTTTGCTTTGTTTTTCTTCCCAGTACTTCCTCCGCAGCTCCTTTCAAGATGCTTTTTATCTTTCTCCAATTATCTTTCATTGTTGCCTTACCATCCTTCCTTTGTTCGTCCAATATTTCCTGGTACCTCTTCCTTACACCTTCGATTTTTAGTTTTTCTGCAGCATAAATTGATCTCTTTTCAGTGTTTTGTCGAGGTTTTCCAGACAATCTCTGCCTATACTTAGACAATACCAAGTGGTCACTATTGATACCTGTTCCTCTGTAGCTTCGCACATCTAAGATGTGTGATGCGTGTCTTGTATCTACCAGTATATGGTTTATCTGATTTTCAGATGTTTGATCAGGAGATCTCCATGCAGCCTTATGTGCTAGTTTGTGCGGGAAGTACGTACTCATCACTCTTAGTCCTTTATCCATTGCAAAGCTGATCGCCCTCACTCTATTATCGTTGGACTCTCCATGCTTACTATGGTATCCTATGATGGACCTAAACACTTCTTCCCTTCCTATTTTCTCGTTTAAGTCCCCTAAAATCATTTTTACATCATATTTTGGGAGTGAGTCATATGCCATCTCAAGGCGTCCATAAAATTCCTCCTTATCTTTTTTTCCTTTTTCTTCTGTAGGTGCATGTACACTGATGATTGAGAAATTAGCAAATATACATGTTGACCTAATAGTGCAAATTCGTTCATTTACTGCTTCATTGTTCATCAGTGACTGCTTGTGATTCTTTTTTAACATGAAACCTTTCCCTTGTTTTATTTATTACCACTGTTAATTAAGATGTATTTATCTACTGTCACTGGATCCATCTCAACCCATCGGATTTCTTGCAAGGCTGCCACGTCCACATTATATTTATCCAACTCTTTTTCAAGTTCTCGGCTTGCTCCTGCTTGTAGTAAGCATCTAACATTCCAAGTTCTGACTCTCAAGTTTATTTTCCAATTATTTCTAAAACTTTTTGACGTTCTTCTTCCCTCTCTACTTCTGCCGTTCGTCCTCAAAGGCATTGGCTGGGGCCTCTCCGAATCCGAATGAGCCCCAATGGGGATTCTCTTTACCATTGCCATGCAAAAAACGTTAGCAGTTTCTTTGACCGTCTTTTTATGAGGTGAGTTCGTCAGACTTACCTCAATCCTTCATCCAGGCTTGGGACAGGCAGTGTTCTCAGCAAAGCTGTTTCCACTGGAGGAGTTTTTATTTATTTCATATAACTTGAATAATTCATAACAACGAAAATCTTTAGGTGCGAATATCTCCTTCACAAAGCCTTTGCGACCATAATTTCAGAGGATTTTTTTTTTCTGGCTATTTAACTCTGAAAAATCCTGTGTATAATTATTTCTCCTAGTTGTAACAGGAATAAAATAAAATTAAAAAGATGTGAAATGCAAGTTAAGTTTAAGGTTATTAAAGTGTAGCTATTAAAAGGTTATTTAAAGTTAGCTCCTTAATATGAAAGCTTTCAGTGATGGAACCATGCCCTGAAGATGACCCACATGTTTGGGTTGAAATGTTGGCACAAATAAAAAATTAAAAATTTTTTTAAAAGACTGTGTCCTGAATATTTATCACCCATGATATGTAGAACAGTATACTAGCTTTCTTCAATAATATATATATATATATATATATATATATATATATATATTTTTTAAATAGTGTGTATGAATGAGAGGTCTTTTCTTCTTTATATCTATATTTGAATTTGTTCGATTTTACCTTCATTTTTTATTAATTCATCCATTCATATTTTTATTTCCATAATATACCATGCCTTCATTTTTCTCACCTACCACTGTGGCAATGATACACAAATTTAACTGCTATAGTAGTGTAATATTAAATTTGACACCAAAGTCAAAGGTGACCCAAATATGATCCTCAGAAATCGTCTTTACTGTCTGCCATCTCGTTTTTGAAGAGTGACCATTAGAGATTTCATATGGCTAACTACATGATAGGCATGTATCTATGCCTGACATATGTCTAGGATATTTATGAAATTAAAGGAAAAACATAAAATGGTTTGGAATCATTCTTAATTAAAATTATGCCATTTTTTAATGATGAAAATATGGTGGACCATGGATGGAATCAAGATGTTTTGGAGTGGGATAAGGAAAGAAACACAGTAAAGCAATATAATAACTTGTTAATGGTGTAGAGATGGTTGACCGTGATTATAATATAAGAAGAAATTCGTCGGGGAGGAGGGAGAGAGGGAGTGGATGGTTGGTGGGAGGGGTGCACTCAAATAAATACTAAATTATTAAAATAGTATTTTGGTTTTTATTTAAATAGAGATTTGGGTTTTAGTTACAGTTATCAACTGCTTTCTGCAGTAGGTGATACCACACCCTGATGAAGACCTACAAAGTGGGTCGAAACGTTGGCGTAACGAATAAAATACTATTTTAATAATTTAGTATTTATTTGAGCCCACTCCCCGATGAACTCCTTCTCATAATAATTTGTTAATTTCATTAAAGCAGTATATCTTATGATCTGTTGTTCTTTCCTGACAACACCCTAACTGAGGTCAAGGTGAAAGTGAAAGTGAGATTTATTAATTTAGGAAAATATTAAATATAAAAAAGAATGTAAGATTTTATTCTAGCAGTGCAGTATAACAACTTTCTAAATCAGTTCAAAATTGTATCGTTTGTTTCCTAAAAAAAAAAAAAATCTTTCTTAATTTATTGTAAGTTTAGTAGTTAAACTGAAATCGTACAATATACTTTTTTAAACAAATACATTATTCAGTCAATAATCCTTAGGAAAATGGCAATACAAAATTTATATTTTTAAAGCTTAAATATTACAATTTTTTATAGAAAAAATTTTTTTGATTGAATAAATTAATTTTATTTATGCTATAAGTGGTCACAAAGAATGTACAGTTAGACCACTATTACTTATTCATATTATAGGCTATCACAGTTCAAGATAAAATCCTCATGAATTACATGTTTTTGTAAAAATAAATCAATGTTCACTTAAATAAAAATAAAATAGATTTTCAAAACATCTAAACATATATATTTCAGTTCACAGTTTAAAAAATTAAATGTTTTATTTGAATTTTTTTTTTTTTTATAAAAGTGCATAGTTTATTTTTATTTTATAATGGATCATCATTAATAACAATTATGTTTTAATTTCGATAATAACCAAGATTTTGCAAATTCAAATACTAAGATTGTAAAATAAATAAATAAATACAAAGAAAAACATTTAAAGCAAATCCATTTGAAATATTTTTTTTTATACTTTCACATTCAAAGAATACTATAGTATTTCATCAGGTACTGTTAGTTTTTTATACAAAATCATACATTATCTATTGTATCATTTTCAAAAAGATTGATTAAATAAACAAAAAATAGATAAAACTATTACTTTTTTTTAAAGGCTGTAAAGTAAAATTCCCTTACTAGTACGAATTATATGACTAAATGTTTATTTACAGTTATATATTATTGCCAGTATAAAAATATTTATATTTATATATATATATCTACTTAATGCTAAGTATGTACAAACAACAATTAGTCCCACTGTAGGACTCTGTACAATATATATTTCTTTTATGTTTTACATGAAATATGGAGTTTGCATAAAGGAACAAAGAATGATTTTTGCAATAAATATTCTTGAGGGAGAAGGGTGGCCGAGTGGGCTAACATATTTGCAATTTACACATTGCTTGGCAACCAGAAAATTATGAGTTCGGGTCCTGATGCCAGGGAGCGTTTAACTCTTAGATCAATGCCCTACCTCTCTTTCCTGGCCCAGGAAAAACCCCTAATAGCCGAAAAGCCAAGATATGGGAAAATATAAAAAAAAATATATATATTCTTAAATATAACGCTGTCAGTAGGATTGTACATTAAAAATTTAAAATAGAGAGAGAAAAAAGGTTACTGTACAAAAAAAAAAGTAAAACAAATAAGATATATAGTTTCAGATTGAATGATCTTATATGGTTAATTCGAGTAATCAAATATATCATATATAAAATTTCTTATTAATCATCTGAATTTTCCACTATATCGACTGGTTCAGCTAAGCTTCTTGGGCTGTCCCCAAGTTTTTCATATAATATTGGACTTAATCTGCTATCACTTAATGGTATATACTTTTTGATAACAGGCTGGGGTCCTTGACCACTTTCTCTTTTCGGTGACCAAAATAGAGTAAGCCTCCTTGGAACACGTTCAGGATAAGGTGAAAACGCTGCTCGAGCATATTTTTCAGCTTGCTCCAAAAATGAAATTAGTCTCTGAGGAAAAAGCTGAATTGTTAAGCTGCGTAGACTAGATTCAGATTCATTTGTACTTCTATCAAAGTCCATCTTTTTTGATCTTTTATGAGGTACTTCCCAATGTACCCACGATTCTGTTGCACCCATGGGCGGTGGACTCAAATCAATGGGATCAACTTCTTTCACTTTTGGTGTTGTAGGACCTAGGATTGGTTCATTAATTTCTGATGAGTTGTCTGTAGTAGTTGTAGTTATTTCAGTTGTGGTTTCAATTGTTTTATTCTCCTTTAATGAGCGTCCATATTCGCTTGATTCTAATTTGTTATCATTTTCAGCTTCCCATATTTTGTACACTCTGTCAGTCAGATTGGCTTCAAGGATTTCGTCTCCTATGTAAACAACTTGAGTAGGAACATAAGAAGTTGTATTTCGTCTTGCATTCTGAAACAAAAAAAATATATTGGTGTAGAAGGACTGCAAGTAATCATAGAGATTTATAACCCAAATACATTCTCTGTGAATCCTAACCCTGAAACAATTTTTTTTTTTTCTAGAAAGCTATCTATAAAAATATATAATATAACTATCTAGTTATATTTTCTTATCACCTAGATATGTGTTAATTCTGGCCTCTAAATGTGTTGAGTATGCCAAAACTTTCAAGAATCATATTCATTTATTTTAACAATAAGGGATAAATAAATTTTGGATAATATGTTTTATAAAATAATAAATATCATTTATGAATTAATTTAATTTAGTATATAGTAATTTATTTAATAAACACTTACATTTAATGAACTATTTCCTACAGAAACATCTGTAATATTATCTCCGCAAGAGCCAGGCATTAATGGAAGAACTACTTCAATACCAGATTCCAATATAAGGCCCTTTTGACAGATAGACAATCTAAAAGAAATAAAAAGTACAAATAAATTTAATTGGATTAAACTAAATTATTTGGTAAAAACATTGAAACTATTTTAATTATAAATAATATTATATATTAAATGGTTTTTTTTCTCTCTTTTTTGAAATCCTTGCACTCTCAAATGAGAATTTTTTATATCACATATAATTGAAAAATTGCAAAGAATGAATTAAAAAAAAAATTAATTTTCTGAAAGATTTTTTCATTAAAATTTCAAATTTGAGTACTCTATTCTGGATATTATACAAAAAGACTGGTTTATGTTTTATGCCCACTTACCATAATTAATATTGTATGAAAGTTATGAATGTGCATGAATCACATTATGAAATTAATTTAATAAGTTACTACAATTATACCAATGAGTTTTTTAATACAATGTTTCTGAAGATACAGTGCTTTTTCAGGAGATATACCTGGGATAGTGTGATTGCTTTTGTTGTTGCAGTTTTTGAACTTTAAGAACAAATTCATTTCAAAATTGTCATAATTGAGATTAGTCTAATAATTGTATTCTCTATAATATTTTGTTAACTTTGCAAGACCATTGAACTAAAAAAATACTTCCTTACAAAGTGCTGATTTTTGGTACAGGTTTTTGTATTTTTTTTAATTTTTTAGAGTATATTTCAATGCCTTTATTGTAAATAAGCCAACAAACTTAATATTTTCTACCCAAAGCATTACCAATGTTGATACTTCAACCCAAAAATAAATTATTAATTAATTAGTTACAACTACTTACTTATTTCCAAAGCTGTCAGTGAGAGAAACATTATCAATGCTCCATTTGGCCAAGCCAGATGATATCCAGCCAGAATATGCTGTATACAAAAGACCAATATGATTGAATTCTTGAAGTGCAGGATGAGGCACAATTATTTTTGATAGCGAACCACCAACAACCAATTCCTCATCATCTTTTCTGGGGGCAATATTAAATGAAAATATTTAGATACTTTTCAGGAAAAAAATATAATCTAATATAAATTATAAACAAAATGAGATCATTATTTAATAATTTCATTATAATACTTTATTATGTCAAATATACAATGATAAGTGTTTAAATAAAGTCTAAGTTCTTATAAAGTATAAGAATTGTTATTTGGTGTGCCTAATCATTAATTATGTTCTCTATGTATAAGTCTCGATTAAGTAGTATTTGATTTTTTTTAGTTTGCAGGGCACATAATATTCAGACAGTGAGTTAGCTCACATAGTTTATAAATATAGAGTATCATTTTTTCCTTTACAAACAGTAATTATTATATATATATGTTTTGTATTGGATTTAATTAATAATACTTACAGTGTTAAAGTGAATGTTTCATTTATTTGTGCATCTGCTACTATAGTTAGCTGAATTTTTCCATAACTTACTACAGGTGTTTCACTAGGGGAGCTTTCGACACGAACCAGATATTGATGTGCTAAAATGATAATAGTGAACATTTATCAAAATATAAAGAATACAAATAAATTCCTCATTATATTTGTGGAGGAATCAAGCGAGGAGATAAAGCAATGTGTTAGTTACTAGAGTATAAAAAATAATTTTTCAGTAATTACTCTATCTTCAAATTTACTTGCTATGGTATTTATTTTGAAACTTAGATAAATTTTATGTCTCTCAAACTCAAATGAGTTTATTTTGGGATATTAACTTCTACCAAATGATACGATTCCATGAAAAACGTAATACATTAAAAAAAAATTAGATTTGACACAAAATATATGATTGAAAAATAAATAAAAATCAAGAAACGTTTTTAGCAATAATTTTTCTGGTCCTGACAAATTAAACATAGTTCATTCTTATTAAATTTTTATATGACATTATTAATAGGTAGAGACAATTCAAAGTAAGTCCTACCACAAAATGGTTCTTCATCTCTAGTAACCAAGTAAAGTGTACCTCTCGCCTGGGTTTCATCAGCATAATACCTAAAATAAAGTGAATTAATTATTTATAAAATAATTATTGGTTGATTTAATTTTTATTAACATATTTCAATTACATTTTCAGAAAACAAAACAATAATACAAGCAATGATAAAATCAACAACAACAACTGTAGAAGTTGAACAAATCTCTTTGTACATGTTTTCAGCAGGACTATTGGGAGGGGGAATGTTTTTCAGAAAGCAATTATATATACTCGAGTAAATAAAACAATAGTAACAAATAGAATGTTTTTGTCATTTTAGTTTGGCACTTTAACACGGTAATTAATAGAATGAAAACATTTCAAATATTAAAATGTTTTTTGTTATTTTATATTTAACAAAGTTACTTACTGTAAATCATGCTAACATTATTCTTTTAAAAAAATCAACATATTTATTCAACAAACTGTGAAATTAGCAGTTAGGAATCTTGTGTTGCAAAAAAATTTTAAAGCTACATATCTGCATTTCTGGTTTTCTAAGGCAAGTGGGAATACTAGAAATGGCATTTGTATGTATTTCCTATATCTAATATATTTCAATCTCTGATGGTTCCATAATGGAAATAATCTATTTTAAAATATACTATTTATATATTCATAATAGGAGTAAGAAAGACTACAGAACCGCCTGCTGTGATATACTACATTAAGTTATATTTAATATAAGATCACTTTTCCCAGAGTGTCATGATCCCAATTTATTTTTCTACCTAAATGGCACATGTAGGAAAAAGGCTAAAAGTCAAATTATAAATAAAATAGCACCTGTTTATGGTTTAAACTTTACCAATATATCTGAAAATTTGCATTGAGGGTGCTGATGTGTGCATGACTATTCAGTCTGTTATTTTACAGATTGCCAACACATATTTAAATAAGCAGGTTTAGAACAGCAATTATGACTTAACTATTTGTGAGAATATGAATAAATCGTTATCTTCTTTTTCCTGGTCTCTGGTGCCACTAATACCATCTTAATATATCTTTACTGCCTCTGCTTGACATACTGTTCTAAAGGAATGAACCTTTCTTTACTCAATCAACTTTTTCAATGGACTCCTCTATACTCTACACTCTACCCCTCTCCTACCAAATTTCTTGTTCCATTAAAAAATATTTGCTTCTCAATTTTTTCCCATTTATTTTCAAGGTTTTATTATTGATTCAGATTTTTTTGATCTTTGAAATTGGCGGGCAAGTTTATCTTTTTGATACCCAAAGTGGATTGTCAGCAAAACGCTTATCTTTCTCCATCTGCGAACCAGGCACCAGACAGTTCTATCACCCATGTAAATGAATGTGTCCAGTCCAGATATACCAAAAATACTCTGTGTTGGCAAAATTTAAATTTATCTTTGCTCGATTGACACTATTTATTTGTACTTCATTAAATATATTTCAATTCATACATCACCATACTCGATACATAGCATTACATATCTCTATGAAATTGATTACATTACACGAATAATAAGTAATGTTTTTAGTGATAAACAAATAAAATTCTTTTTTTTTAATATTATGGAGATTTATAATATGTTTGTTAATATTCTTCAGGATTAACATTGCGATGTCTTGAGGTCAGTACAGTTAAACTAGTTGTCCACAGTCAGTGGCAAGGTACAGCACATCAAAAAACCCTTTTGATTAAAATTGATTTCATGCTCAATAATAAAGTTTATTTAGAAAAATATTTCTTGATGACTTTACAAGCTAAAACAAACTAATATGATGTATTGTTTAGAGGAAACATTTGTTAACAAACAGCTAAGTTTATTTTTCAATAGAAAAAATCAACATTCATTTATCCAAAAAATAAAGAAGATAAAAAAAATTCAAACCTTAAAGACTTTATCCACTAGGTCGGTGTGGAGACATGGCTTGCTTTTCCATTAAGTAATAATATTTGTGCATGCCTTCACACCTATATACTGTATTCCAGTATGGATCTAAACTACATTCAACTCTTATGGTTTATTCTTAATCAATAAGTTAATCAATCATATCTTAAAATGAATACCATATTTCATGAATATTCATATTACAGAATAAAAAAAAAAAAAAGATTCGTTTACTCCATCATCGACAATTAAAAATTAGTGATTTATTCCAACATAACTATCAGCAAATTTCAAACTAAACAATGTCCTGTTAGGGATAAAATGATTTTTTTTTCTATTAATTTGTTTCCATTAAAAACATACTTTACAACATTGTAAACTATTAATTAATTTTGAATTACATAAAAACTTGTAATTTTCTTACCCCATATTAGGGCACAATTTTCCCTTGCATGGAAAGCATTCCCCATTCAAAAATGCATCATAAGAATGACATGGTACTGCAGGAAATTGGCAACGTGGAGAAACACTATCTGTGAAAAATTTATAGGCTCTCCGGTGGTTGCACAATGATCTTGCTTCCAAAGCAGCCCCAGCTATGAAAAAAAAAAAATGAAAAAAAACTATTTTTATTTATTTAGGCAAAATATAATATTAATTATAAGCACTAGGTTACAATAGGAATTTTAACATATATTAGGGTGCTTGACAGGAGTTTGAAAAAATTACAATTTCTTAAAAATAGCAAGTTGATACTTTTATCAACTGTAATATATAAAAACATTTATAAATTTTGTGTAACTTAAAAAAAATTTCATTAGATCTAGTCACGCTGAAGCAATTTTACCAGGTGCGAAGTAATAATTGAAGAAGGATCATGACTGTAAAAATTCTAGAGATTATGGCAATTTCTTTTGACTAAAGATGTTTGGCCAACTTGACTTCAAGTGTTATTAAGAAACCAGAGGAGATTATAGAAAATATCATGGTAGTAATTAAAATGATCAAGAGCCTTGGCTGAAGGCTGTAACCTCCATAGAATTATACTCCCTGAAGATGAAGTAAATGTAGTCAGATCTATATTTTGAAATAATAACTATAACTTTAAGGAATAGAGGTATATTAGTGGGATCTCCTACACTCACCACAATGCTATATTATTAACTACTGGTTAATATTTAGATTTAATGACTTAGGAATATTCCTCCTAAACAGCAAATTTATGTTGAATTATCATGTACACATATGCAAAATACTGCTCCCAAAATGAAAAACACTGAGTACAAGTAAAATAATATTGTACCTAGCCAACAGTGTTTGGCTTAGTAGTAATGGGGAAGACAACATGCCTTTCAATTCCAGATAAATCTTCGCTCTTCACTGGATTCCAGCAAACTATCAAAGAGCAGAAAATTGATACAAGTGAGAATCAGGACAAGATAACAGTGGACGGCGAAGTTGGTAAAACAGTAAGACCACAATCAACTACTGTACCATCTTTTAGTACCTTATCAAAGCAAGATGAATCAGCAGTCAATGTTCTTATGTCCTTAAGTCAATGTCATGTGGACAAAAGAGATCATGCATTCCTAATGCCAAACCCTACTTTTCATAAAACCAGTTTTGTAAACAACAGAAATGGCAAATTGAATTCCAAACCTCACTTACAGTACACGAAAACTTTGGATGTAGCGGTTCATAGAGAACAGCGATCGCTAGTTAGAAATAATGACACGGACAGACTTGAAGAGATACTGCCCAATGGTAGCACTCCCTGTTTAATTCTAGATAAGAAGATCACGGGGCCATCTTCTTTTCAGAAACCTAGGAGGATTATCAGGAATCGAGAAAGAAGCAAGGTTGGAAACAAGTGGATTCGGATGGGACTGGAGTTTATCATGAAAGGATAGGTATCTGGCTCGGGCTAAATCAGGGGCATTAATTGAACAAACTCTTAACACGTTAAGAAATAACTAATTGTTAAGGTTTAAATTAATACAAAATATTATATTAACAAGTAAAAAAAAAAATTGTATTCTCCGTTTGATAGGCACTTACACCAAATAATGTCAGTGAATGCTCCGAGAAAAAGATTTGTGCATCCTTTCTGCATTCGCCCTCCATTTGGATAAAAATCTACATGTCCCATTGGTTGCCATGATCCTAATCCTCCAAGTATTAAGGTTTCTCCATTGGAATGAATTACATCCACAAATTTAGCATCTGTTGAATCTAATCTGTCCTTTGGGTCCTGGGATTCGAATAGAGGTCCTGCTGGATCCAATCCTGATAATAATATAGATATATTTATTAGAAAAGTAGACATTGAATAGTTGTAGTAAAAAATATCTTGAAAATTAACGTAACCATTGTGGTTTCAATGATTATCATGCTACATATTTCTCTTATGTTAGTATAAGAATTTCCTAAAATTCAGTCATTAATTATGGCAATACTGTGTTTCAAGATTAGTATACTAGCTCATAAGAATTTAGATTTATAAATGACCACATGATCATTGAAAAGCAGTTTCTCTTTCAACTAACAATGGAAACAACGGCTTTATTTTTCAGTACAGTTAATAATATGAGGGAAAGAATTTTTATTTTTTAGAAGTTTATATATACATATATATATATATATATATATATATATTATATATATATATATATATATATATATATATATATTGTATATACTTTTGGCATTATATCAGATAAAAGAATTTTAAGAAACAGTTAAGTCACATTTCAATTAACTTTTTTTCAAAGATTTTTTATTTTAATTATTGAAACAAATATATAAGTTTAGAAAGCTTGGGAATTGCCATCTGCAAAGTTTCGCAACAAATAAATCTGTGAACATTACATATATGTAGTGGTTAAGTTAGTAAATCTCTTAGCCGGAGTCTTAAAAGTCATAGGGATAGAGTGTACAGATTCGTGGTGAAAATAAGTGTTTGGGCAAATGGGTTCAAGTTGTAAATCAGTGTCTGGTAGATTTACTAATCACTACTATAATTAATTTTAATTCTTTAAATTAAAAAAGAATTATTAAAGATTTAGTTAAAAAATTGTTTTCAAAAGATGTATACTTTAATTTTAATCTTTGAAGTTTACTAACCAGTAATTCTGTGTACTGATCCCAGTTCAGCACCAGCAAAAGCTGCCACATGAGCTCCAAGGGAGAAACCGATCAAATGTACCATTTTAAGATCAAGTCCCAGTTTTTCTTTCATACTTCCTAGAAGCAAGGAAAGTTGTCTTCCAACCAAGCGAGTGTTTGCAGCGGCCCTAACATAATTGGGAAATATTGCTCCAGATTCCCAGTCGACACAAAGTACATTACAGTCATTCTGTAAATAATCAACAAATAATAATAAAGTATCGTAATGATTTAAATTTAATCATAAATATTGATCTAAGGTATGTCCTAAAATTGTTTGATGTGAGTGGTAGAGCGGACTTGTTAGCCAAAAAAAGAGTAAATAATGTATGCTTTTGGAGAAAGACCTATTGAAGCAACCAGATGGGTTACAGAAAATAATATAAAATAAGAAATAAAACTTAGTAGGAAAAGCATTATTGGCAACGATGCATTATTATATTTATTCAATGTCTGATGGTATATATTAAGTATTCTTTTGATGTATTTTTTTATACAATTAAAATATACAAAGAAAATTAGGTTTAATTTATTATCCAGATATAACGTAGAAACCTTGAAGAATTTGGATCCTCAGAGATTAACTTTTAAGAATAAAATACTATTTAATTTTCTTATTCATAATATTTCTTAAATATTATGAAAAAAGTTCATTGAATTTTCAGCTCCTATTAATCATATAAGAAATTCCATTATCAAGGCAATAAGACTTGATATATAGTAAAAATCATGATATATTATGAATAGTTATTGATTCTCCATTCTTGTCACAATGTGAACCAGTCTCACGAATCATAGGAAATCATAAGTCTTGCTTTTTGACAATCTTGTTTAATTTTATTTCATATTAGATGCTGTGTAAGTGTTTCGCAAGAAGGATAGTTCACAATCAATGCATGGGCAGGGCAGAGAAATTATTCTTTATTTTGTTTAAGAATGTATAAATTTATCTATTCTGTTTTATTGGCTGTGGATCATCTCTAGGGTTGAGAGGCCCTCCTAGGGCACACTCAGCCTCTATAAAGTGGCTTCCTTTAATTAAATAACTAATTAAGAGGTAAAACCTAACGTTTGCGTGTGATCTCGGTATAATCACCTCCTTGTACAATCATTAATCAAGAAACAGTACTTTCCCTAAATAGTACTGGACCAATAGCCTTCATGAGTTTTAGTGGTACAGGTTTTTTTTTTTTTTTTCGTCAATGGAAAGGGAGGAGCTGCTGTTATGTATCTAATAGTATATTATGAGTCTAAACAGAAACGTGGTCTAAATGGTCCAATATGGAATATAACACCTTAAAAATAAATACTATGTGTAAAACAATAATTGATTAAGAACAACTAGTGTTGGTTGCACTTTTTATTAGGTAGTTATGAAAATTCATAAACGTTACAGCTTAAGACATACCATTTGCACAACTATTCAGAAAATATATTTATTGTAGTTATATTTAAAATTACATTATTATAATAGATAAAAATCAACTCACCACTGACATAAGGGCTGACCTCATTTCATAAACCCAAACATTTGAACATGAGCTTCCGAATCCATGCACTATCACCTATAATAAAAAGATCAATTACTCTGTTATTTACTCTAATATTTAAAAATAATTAGTTTATTATAATATTCCAAAATCAATTATGATACATTCATGTAAGATGTTAAACCTTTTTTGATTTGTTTTTCAAGAATAGACTTTCATTTTCAATTATTCGTGAATTTTAAAAATCTTACTACATCATAATGATTTCTTTACATTTATGTACTTATTTCTGTTTCAACTTCTAAAGATATTTATAGAAAGTAAAACTACTGTCTTTAAAAATTTTTTTTTTTCGAAATATGTTTATATATGAAAGTTATTAAGCAACAGCTAGCAAGATAATTCCAAATTTAAAAAAAACTTGCATTTCAATGCTAAAATTGAATTTTTTAAAATAGGTGGTTACTTTGTCTTATCTTAGTTCCTTTAATTTGTAAATAGTTTTCATATAAAAACGTACTTTATTACTTTATAACCTATTTTTACTTTATTTAAATAGTGAAATAAGGCATGGATTTTTATACATCATCTCTATTAATCAGGGTTTAAATGAGGTAGATTGCAACACTCAAAGATAAAATTTCAAAGTTTTATAAAATTATAACTAAATACTTCTGTGAAATGAGAGGACCAAAATTATTCCAATCATTAGAAAAAATTTACATTGATAATATAATAAATTGATGTTAAAATAATAATGCGACAGAAAAGTTGTCATAATATTTAAAAATTAGAAAATGTATATGCCATTGCAAAATTAGAAATTTAACAGTGAAAGTATTTGGGTCTGGGTAATAGCACTTAATTCTTTCTTCTTGCCAAGTTGGCTATTGGCCTCATCATTCTGATTAGAATTCTAAAGAGCTAGTTTTGCGGATTAATTAGGTGCACAATGAAAATGATATTATTCAATACTCAAGCTTAGTAAAAAAACGATATAAATACTGCTCTGTAAATATATTACAGACCTTGCATATCTTTTTTTAACCTTAACCAGCCTTCTCCATCTCATCATGGGCAATTTTTTTCTGAATATCTGCATGCAGCTCTATTGCATCTTTGATTCAATCTATATATCTGTTTTTTGGCCTTCCTTGTGGTCACTTAGCAATTGTTGTGTAGAGGCTTCCTGATGGATTACTTGGAGCACATGTGGATCTACAGGGGGGGAGGGGAGGAGAGGGGCTTTTGGCCTGAAGCCCTCCCCAAAATGGTAAAATATAACCATTTTTTACAGAAAAAAATACTAAAAACTATCTCTTAAAGTATTCTTGTTGGTTTAATTACATTTAATAGGACTTCAAGAACGACTTAAACATCATTTCGTATAGGTAGTTAATTTCTTTTTTTTTTTTTAATTAATCATTTTTATACTTATATGAAAAAAAATCTTTCCGGCTGAAGCCTCCCCCTCCTCCCCAAAATTAAATCCTGGATCCACTAGTGACATGGAACTATATAACCCACACATCTTAACCTTCTTAACTTTAGATCATAAGGTATTGATTGACCCATCTTAACCTCCTTGCCTTTATCTGATCCCAGATCACTCCAGCTATTTTTTTAGCTATTATTAAGGTTATCAATCTATTTATAATAATATAATTTTAATTTCAAAAAAATAAAAATCTTTACTATATATATATATATATATATATATGTGTGTGTGTGTGTGTGTGTGTGTGTGTGTGTGTGTGTGTGTGTGTGTGTGTGTATATATATATATATATATATATATATATACATTTATAAAGGAACTGTGAAGTGGAGTTGGCTAAGGTACCAGACAAGTGGTTATTCAAGTTAAGCAACCTCCAAAGAACTTGGATAATCGCCCACCAGAGCAAGCCCACAGCATATCATTTTCCAATGCCTGTTCTCTCTCAATCGGGTGTGTGACTCCACTTTGCCAGAGAAAACTCACAATGAGCTGGGCAGGAGCGTCCAGAAGGGGGTTTTATGGCAGGAATTTCAAAAACCGAGTAAGGTATGGTAGCATTAGAAAACTCGTAAATCATATACAATTACCCTTCCTTCTGCATGTTCCATGTTTTCCCCTTGACTCTTAGTCCAAAAATTCATAACCCCGTCGAAATTTGCCCCCCTAAAAAATTCTAAAACCCATCAAAATATGATCCCATCTAAAGTTTTGATAACGCAACTTGCCCTATGAAACCCCCTGGGAACCCCGGAATAGCCATAATCCATCGATCATGATTTGTCTCTTTGTTTCATTGTCTCTGCCCTTATACTTGAGTGAGCTGATGGGAAGGACTATGCGTATATTTATTTTCTTTATCTATCAATCAATACACACAATTATATATATACTGTTTCTATTTATTTATTTATTTTACAGAACTTCTGATAGCTAATTATAGTTTATTATATACAAATAATACCTTTGTGGGAGCCGACATATTGAATGCTTTCTCAGCCCATTCAAAAGCTGAGGACATGTTGAAGAAAGAGACATCAAGGAGAGGTGTTTCAGATCTCTTGGAATGCCTGGAAGAGTAGACAAGAAATCTTGTACCAACATCTTCTGGCTTTGAAGGTACCATGTCCAAGTAGCCGCCATCCCTGAAGCAGCC